ACATTGGATCACTATTCACAACCAATCGTAGAAAGTATACACAAGCTGGTGTTCCTGATATATGTACGAATGGCTACCTTTAAGGAATCTAAGGTACATGTTTGCTGGTTCTTTGCACTATTTTTTTCCTAGGCTATGGTGATACAAGTTGTGATATTGAATTTCAAACTGTATGATTCGAATACGATGATGCTGTTGTATTGTCCTTGGGTAATTTAGAACAGACTTTAGGAAAAGTAATATTTAATATTCTTTAGTAGTCATCATTAAATGATGGTGTTAGTTGTATTTGGCTTCAGATCTACCCATCATTTTATCTGACTCTCTGTGAAATAGCATTAGAATAAAAGTTTTTCGATGTCTGTTGACAATGTTTCTGGATTTGAATTTATAGAGTAGGTATTATTGATTCTGTTTGGCAAGTGTTTTGTGACATCACCTGATTTCCCCTTTCCTTGAGTTTTTGGAAAAATACCTTTTTTCTGATGTCATTAATATATATCATTATTGACATTAACCCATTAACACCGAGTTGAAAATTTGGATAGTGGCCATTAACCCACTAATGATGGTTCCTATGTAGTACCATACAGCCTCATTTCCGGGTGGTATCTATAGCAGTGTGGGGACCCTGCCCTAGCCACACATTGCAGGCGACCACGTCAGAGTAGAATCTCTGATTTTATGCCTCTTTTATAGCCTTGGGAGTATACTGAAGATTATGCTTTTGAGAAATGTTTTGTGTTCCCCTAAAGCTAAAATACAGTCTCAACACTTGTCGCATTAGTTGAGTCCAGGCTGTCTAATAATGTCATGTGTGTTTCTTTCAGTAACATATTTGCTAAGATATCATGAGGGTAAATCAGTTTTTATGAAAAGATAGATAATTCCCCCCCCCCCCCCAGTGTATGCCATTACTGGTCTGCATCCCAAGCCTCAAAGCACCTGTAGGTGCAGAAGCCTACATCACAGTCATGCTCCCACCAACCCTGTCAAATGTACCAATGACACCTCCTCCTCCTGCTGTCATTTTTTTTGGTGATGGCATGCTGTCACTGCAGGGCTTGCCTCGCTACATTGGGTGGTTGTGCTGTAGTTTGGTTCCTGGTGTAGTCAGCTCCTTCTCTGAAGTCCCCCAAGATCTCAGAGTTGAGACCTACTCTGAAGGCCTTCTGAGATTCCTCTGTCCAGGTCACAATGGACAGCCCAGGCACCATGACTTTTCCTCATCCGTTGTAGTGGTGTGGACGGGTGACAAGTTGATGATGATGTTGCTGTCTTTCCACTACAAGGCGAACAACTTGCTGCTGCAGTAATCGACATCACCTTACCTCCTCACACTGAGGTCCTTGGGCATGAACCTACGGTGTCTGTGAATGCTACCAAAGCGAGGCATTGTGAAAGCAAGTAATGAATGACGTACGAGCACTTTTATATATGTGGGAAAATTCCTGCAATTAGAACTGGCGGGGAACATAGATCCAACATTAACCAATGAGGTTAAAGCTGGGTCACACGTCACATATCTTGACCAATCACATTATAACTGACATCACTTCCTTATGTGACATCTTTGCTACAACAAAGGAAGTAAGATGGCAGCTGTAAAATCACTTGCTTTTTATTGTCTTTATGACTGTAAGATGTTACTGCCTCAGCTTCATGGTGTCACTTTGTGATGTAATTCTTCATGATGTCACTTCATGATGTAACACTCTTAAGGTTACTTTGTGACATAACTCTCTATGACTTCACTTTGTGATGTAACTCCATGACATCACTTCATCTGTCTATCTGCCTGCCTCTCTGTCTCTCTACCTACCAATCTATTTCTGCCTACCTACCTGGCTCTCTGTCTATTTATCTATCTATTTGTCTTTCTTTCTTTCTCTCTCTGTTTATAATTCCTCCAATTCCTCCTTCTTTTGTAATGTCAACTCCAGGAAAATTGAAGTAATCATTTTACATCTTCTGTATATGACCTCATGATGTGACTTGTGGTTACATGTGCAATAAGAAATCGTCTTGGAAATATACATGTAGACATAACAGATGTTACTGAAGTCCATGCATTGTCTCATGCGTGAGACACCTGGCAGATGGCCAAAAACAGTAGCAGCTCTTATATTAGACAACCAGAAATGGTCCATGCTCCAGGCATCCCACTGGTTTGATGTTTGTCTCCAATATGGGTGTTGGTATGCATCGACAGTTTCCCCTGTTTGCTCCTGGCTCATTTGGTAGTTTGTTGGCATCATTAGGCACCTAAAAGCTAATATTTTATCATAAAAAAAGATTAAGGTTTCCCTTCACTTTAGGTGCTATTACCTAAAAGTTTAACCACAGAAATGATGCCGCTACTACTGGAGAAAAACAAGCTCCCTCTGATTAGCCGATGGCATGGGAATGGTTGTGTTGCAATGCCACCTGCTATTTTGTCCACAATAGTCATCCCATGTACATACATGCTACCTGGCAGCAAGGGTTTAAGACTATAATAATGTTATCAACACTACTGAGTAAAAGGTGAAAGAGAATCTTTCTGAAAATCAAGGTGAAGGGTAAACAGGTGAGATAGGTAGGACTAATAAATAACTCTTGGTGATTAAGCACTTGTGTAGCCATATAAGGGTAAAAACAACGAATAAGCAAAAAAACAAAACAAAAACATAGTGGACATGGCATGTATTTTTGCCATCCCAGCATCACTGGGTTAAAATGAAGTTACTGTGTCAAGTTTTCAACATACTAATTCATATTCTTTATCTCATTTCAGACCTGTCACATAACCCCTTCTGCATTTGGTGATATTATTTATGATAATTTCCTTTTTGATATATGCAAATTACTTGACATCTGTGTTCTGTATGGACCGAACAATTATGCATTGATTGGTAAAATGATCTCGAACATCTTTGCAAATCAGCCCAAATATTATGATGATCTTGAGCAAATTATGTCTTCCATGAATATGGTAAGTGTTTTTACTTATTAATTTATCATATTGGTATGATCTTTATAGATTGAGGATATTCTTTTATATATAACTATGTAAAACTGTTGAGGGAAACACAGTATGTCCTATTCAAGTTTTTCTGGTTTTGTCAGCCTCAGTCCCATCCCCAATTCTTCATAAAGATTTAAATTAATCCAAAAAACATGATGAATTGAACATTGGTCCTGCAAAGTGTAAGAAATTTGTATTCTGAATTTTACATTGTAGGTGTATACTAGAGGCTCATACATATCACATTGTCTTTCCAGGCTTTAGAAAATATTGAAGAGAAATTGAATGTTGCAGAGAATTATATACCTGTTGCCCTAGGTAGTTCCGAAGGAGAGCTGTCGTTAGCAGATTTGCACGATTTAACCTTATACCTATTAGACACATTCTACTCTCTGCAAATGCTCCTTTCTCTTCACCCACCAGCAGCAAGAGTTTTCCATAAAGCCTCATTTGAATTAAGGTAAAGTTTTTTTTTTTTTTTTTTTTTTTTTTTTCTCATTACTCACTTTTATTGATCTGTACTTTTTCTTAACCAGAGAATGATCATAGTAATTTGGTGTAAGTGAAATTGTTGAAATGTCTCAAGCATATAGATGCTTAATCTTGATTCACTTTCCTCATATTATACAGGTTATCAGCTTGTTACGAAAGAGTCATTCCGTCTCTAGTGGAGAACCTGAGTGATTGGTCTCAAGAACCAGATCATGCGCTATGGGCAACCAAGCTCATTCAAAAGGTCCAGATAGCCAGGGCATCCATGCTCGCAACCTTTAGATATATTTTGCACAACAAGTGTATAGCTCCTCTGAACACAAGTGATAAGTAAGTTTTGTGTATTAGGCATGTGTGTAATGGTGTTAGAAGGGGTATTGGTAGGGTATCGTGTATTAGGCATGTGTGTAATGATGTTAGAACTGCAACTTAGGGTAAGGGGTTCTGATGCATCTTATGAAATTGTTGTATAGGACTTAGGTAATTGATAATCAATGGTTGTTGGAAAAATTAAGATTTTGATAATTGGAATTACTTTTCTATTGATTTTGAAGTGGGGTTCTTCTATATTAACATTTTTAATATATATCAAAGTAAATAAAATTTGAAGTCTTTTCCTTTGCTAATAAAAGGATTAACCCCGTGCTGCCAGGAAAATGTTGCATTCACTTTAGTATTGTTTTGTTAAATGTTTCTGCACATAGATGGCTCTGCCAGTGCTCAGCCATAAAGGAGTCAATTAATAGATCTTGTGACCTCACCATTAATTTATTTAGTGGAAAAATGCTTCGTTTTACTATTGGTATCATCAATATTGATACTGTTATTTTTGTTATGAACATTATAATTATTATTGATATTACTAACAGCAGTATTAAATACTAGAATATATAATTGAAAATCAAGGAAAAGGGTAAAGAGATGAGACAGGTACTTCTTAATGACTCATTGGTAACATAGTATTTGTGGAGCCATCTATACGTAAAAATAATTACTAAGTTAAATATACAATGGGCATTGCATGTACGTACCGGCCATCCCTGGCGGCATTTGGTTAAAGCAATATAGTTGCATGCATCTGTTAAGAATTGATTTATGTATTATTGACTGCACACTGATAAAGAATATTAGAATCTATGATACAGATTCCTTTAGGGGTGAAATTTAGATATATATATATTTCTTTTTTATGTAGACATTTAAATATATAATGCAAAATTACATTTTAGGAATGATTTCTCACAATGATTTAGTGTTTTTTGTGCAATTAACTTTATATTTATTAACTCTCCTTTTCTACTGAATTATAGACCGGTGTCAATTACAGTCGAAGAATGCATTGAGAAATTTGTTCAGGTCATGTCAACTTGTGTGGAGGAGAGAGTTTTCATTTCTGACTACTGCTCATTGTATCCCTTGAGCAAAGAAACTGAATTCTACCAGGTATGGATATGTTTATATGTCTATTTTTTGTCATATGATATGACAGGTCATACTTGTATTTTTGTGAAGGAAATAGAACCTTTGGATATTTGGTGAGAACGAATTATTGTTTATTTCAGCAACATGGAGGTGACATCACAAATCTTAGCTTTATTACTGATGCAGTGCAGTCAGTTCTCTTAGAGATGGGATTATCAAATGACTTGAAGGAACTATCACTACAAGAGGGAGTTGAGGTTAGTTTATGTTCTATGTCTTTGATTCTCAAAGAAGCATGCTATTTGATTCTTTTCTTGAAGATTGATATTTCAGAAAAAAATGGACCTACCAAAAATAAAATGATATTTGTTAATATTCAAAGGTGTATTGTGGTCCATATGATTAAACACATTATGATTTCTTTTATGTAATGCAAGGCAGAGTAAGTGGCACACATTATCAGTGGTGTTTACTTTCCAGAATTCAATTGATGTAAGTGGCATGAATGGATATGCAGATGTTGGTTCATCATTGCCAACAGACATAGAAATGGCTTCCTTGGTGTCGAGTGTTCAGGATCTTCTTCCGGATTTAGGAGCAGGATTCATCCAGGAATGTCTGAAGTGAGTGAGATTCTTATTGCACATGGGTAATATATCATCCTTGCTGAAGGTTTTTGTATGTAAGCAAGTAATTAGAAGGTTTAATAAAATTGTTTTAGTACAAACTATGACAGTTCTGCGGAAAATTGTCTTCAGTAAAAACAAGTGACAATATGAAAATGGTATTTCCTGCTGCATTTTTTGTCCATAGATTTGGAATTACACTTTAAGCACAGTTCATGGTTGATTAGTCTAGCAAAATTATTCAGTACACATGTATTTTTTGCATTTTCATAACTGCAGTTCATAGATACACTTATTGTTACTGATTGATATTTGAAAAAATAATAATAACTTAAAAGAAAAAAAGAGAATCAATAAATAAATCATGCATTAATCGCAATATACAAAGAAGGTATATATATTATTTCAAGGTATATTTCAAGTGTGATACTTTATATTCCAGGTACTACGGTTATTCATCGGAAGAAGTTATCAATGCACTCTTAGAAGGCAACCTACCTCCATCTCTGATCACTTTAGATCGCAATATGCCTGCAACTGAACCACCTCCTGTGGAACCACCTGTAGAAGAAAAGAGTGAAGTAAGTTTTATTTTGTCTCTCCTCTCCAGAAGCATTACTGTGATCTTTGTATTACTGTAACTGCCTAATCTTCCAGTATTTGAGGATAATATGAGCCTGAAACACAGGAATCTGTATGAGGAGCATCAACACCAAAACTTTATAATATCTGCAAGATGTGGCACACTTTACATTTTTGCCTTTGCAAAAGATGAAAGAAAATTAATCTGTTCACTCTGTTGGTTTAAAAAGTGCGCATTGCTTGTGTACAGGTCTATCGCCAGCGAGCAGTAAATTTGTTTGTGTTATCTTTCTCTCTTTCTCTTCTGCATGCTTTTGATGCACGCAACACATGCACTTGGCGACGCACGCACGCACACACGGCACACACGCACGCACGCACGCACGCACGCACGCACGCACGCACGCACGCACGCACGCACGCACGCACGGCACGCACACACACACGGCACGCACACACACACACACACACACACAGACACACACACACACACACACACACACACACACACATCAGAGATGGAAAGTTTGTCAAATATGAATTTATTCAAAGATGTTTGGTGTAAAATGTTTGAGAAATGAAAGAGAGGGAGAAGGGGGCTATGAGGACGAAGAATGAACCAGGAAAGGGGAAGTGTACCCCCCCATCCTATCCCTGGTGGAGGGGTATGGGGTAAGGTAAAGGAATAGGGGGATAAGGAGGACAGGGGAGGGACCACAGAGGGGGAAACTGTGATGTAGAATCTGCCAATGATAGTTCCTCATTCTGGGTATCGGGTAGGGCATATCTAGCAGGTGTACATGTTTAGTGGAGACAGGGATGGTGGGTGGAGCTACAGAATCTCTAAAATATGGGATCACTCAGCGCCAACTAAAATCAAATGGTATTATGGTGCCAATGTTAGGGTCTCCCTATGTTCCACTGGCACTTCATGATGCTGGTGTAAGTGTCACCGTATAAAACGGGTTAAAATAGATGTTAATTTTTACTCATCTCTGGCAGTACAAGAGATTGATTTACTTGCAAAGTAAAAGCATGTATTACTAACAATTTTCAAATAGTAATAGTTAAGATTAATCATGCTGATATATTGTTTGAACTACTTTTAAAATTGGTAGTGATGCACAATGTAGATAAAGGACAGATGTGTGAAGTATATAAGGGTCTAGGCCCTAATGCACTTCCATCCCTATGCCTGGTAATTGTCTTTTTATTCTGAAGATATCAAATATGATACTGATCAGACCTTAATATACATAAGGAATATCCAAAGTACAAATTGTAGTGGGAATTGTGTCATGATTATATATATTATAAGTATTTTTTTTTTTTTGAGTGAATTTGGGAATGAAACTGATCATAAAGTGACTGTGGTGTGCCTGCTTATTCATATAGAAGCCCTTTAATTTACAACACATGAGAGGTTTATGATATTCTTTACTTTGTATGCGTATAATTGTTTATGTATGTATATTATTTTATTGATATTAGATTTATTACCGTCTTGTATTTTACTCTCACCTTTGTTCCCATAATAAATTTATTATATTAGAACATCTAACAGTTTTCTCCTTTTATTTTTTCAGGCAAAGACTGTACGTCAGGTAGACTACATGGACAGGGCCAATGTCTATGACAATGATGAATTTGATGTTTTCAATAAAAAAGAAGTTGATAGGTCAAAAATTCATAAAGGCAAGAAGTCTGATAGGCATCAGAAAGAAAGCATGGACAAAGCAAGCATAGACAAGGTAGCTATGTTTTATAAGGTTGTTGTATTTGTTTTCATAAAGAAAAGAAAAAGCATTCAAATGTCTTTATGGTGTGCAGCACATTAGAAAACAAGATATAACATGAGTCACAATTTTTACATGTTATTGAAATATCTTTGGAAATATCTTTACATTGCAGTTATGTAGTTATTGGTTTCACTGTGCTGTGTAAACCAGATATTATGGAAATATGTGAAGAATATGAATTGATTATGTGATAGAGACTTGGAAGTAAAAAAAGGCAAAAAGTGCAGCAAATATTTGGAATCTGTTTGAGAAGATTGCTAATAGCCTTGCATAGTACCAATATTATTGTTTTTCCAGGTGAAGGAGATAGCAAGAATGTATGATGAGAGAGGAGGAAGAAGCATATATGAAGATGAGCTGGTGGTTGACGAAGATGGAGAGGAGGGCTACAGTATGTGGAATTATGACGATGAATATGATGACACCTACGATGATAATGAGACCAGAAACATTGATGACTTTGAAATTGATAAGAAAATAAAGAAGTAAGTTGACATGATAGATATGTTTAGCCATATATTTAGTTCCTAATACCCTTGGAAGGAGAGTTTTTTGCTGCTATTTTGTGTCTATTTCTAAGTTAACACGTACTGCCAAACTGCAAACAAGGAATCTGTACCTTATGCTTCAGAATTTAAATACAAAATGGCTTTAGATACATAATTGCTGCTCTCTTTTTAGACGTCCTGGTATTATTGGAGCTGGTGCACTGAATAACCGCTTCCAATATGATGACGATTCAGATGAAGAGGAAATGGAAGAGGAGACTCAGACTCAGCAGGAGGCTCCAGCGACTCAGGCTCCAAAGCAAGGGTGAACCACTGTTTCAGTTTTATTGATTTTTGCTGATAGTTGCTATTTAATTTTGATTTTGTTTAATTTTACATGTTTTTTTTAGTAATGATTCTAAACAGTTGTTAAAAATATGTTTACATTAAGTTTGCTATAAAGTCTCTTTTATATGGTTGTATAAGCAGGTTGCCTAAAATGGTCAAAGGCAGTGATCCCTTGTATACAGGCTTTTAAACTGATCCATCATTGAAAGATCTCAGTTAGCCTCTTAGATATCTTTAAAATGTCTGTTAGTCTTAATGCCAGTTCTTCATCAGATACCCCGGTGGTGCAAGGCCAAAGAACAAAGGCAGCACAAGAGGCGTGCAAAGGCTTCAGCCCAACAATAAATCAAGTAAGCCGAAAGGAAAGACACCCACCCCAGAAAGGGAACAGGAGGAAGAACCAAATAGACGGGAGTCAGAAATGAATAAAACTAGCAGAAGCTCGGGTGTTAATTTTATACCTTTTTGCGAGAATCCAGAGGATATAAGGAAGCGGAGAGAACAACATAGGCTGAATAACATGGCAAACAAAGGGTAATTGGGTTATGTTTCCTCAGTTCTAATTTTAAGTATTGGGGGCATTTTAAACTTTAATATGTATATATGTATGTAGGTGTATATGGATGGATAGATAGATGTATATTTCCATGTACAGAAAGATCGATTTTCAGAAATGTGATCAATTAATCAATCAAAAGAAATCTTTGTTGAAAGATTAACATCTTGAGACATGCAGGAGGTTAGCTGTTGGTAACTTCCACATTTTAATATAACATTTTGCATATCAGACATAGAGGCAGAGGAGGAAGACCAGGAAGAGATACAGAAACTCAAAATGGTTTTGATGGAGAGAGGAGACCTAAGGTGTCCACCAGCTCAAACAAGAATAGTGGTAAAAGCTGGCGTTCTGGAGAATGGAATGAAGATGACAACAAAAGACCTGGAGGCAAATGTAAGTAAAGGGAAGCTGAGACATTGGTTCATGAATATATTTACATTTTTTTTATGTATTTAGGAGTTTGTTATGCCCAGTTTATTTCAGTTGAATATAAGGTTAGGATTCAATATATTGGTAATATACCTACATTGCTTCATAAACTGTATACTCACCGAGTGTTTTAGATTATAATTTAGTACTAAGGTGGACGGAAGATCTGCATAAAGTTACAAACTGAGAGAAAAATGCTTGCCTTTTACACAGACAAAGAAGATACAAATCATGGAAAGATGCAGAGC